AGATCAAGCAAATAATCCTTGGATTCAACTTGGCATAGCAAAAGCATCAGCAGAAACATCAAATACTTTCGTTGAGTAAGGTAGTTCGTTAAGTAACTTGCGAAATTTAGTTAAGGATACAAGTTTTGATGTTATAAAAAAAAGAAGAGAAAAATATCAATATTATAAAAACAAATTCGATATTGCATTAGCTTTGTATGATTGGGAAATAAACAATTCTAATTTTATAAATAGTTTTAATACCTTGGTAATGCCATTTTTGAATGAAATAGGTAAATGTGAAGAAGCATTACGAGTTCACTACCAGCAAAGAACTTGGATGTCAAATGAAAAGCTTGCATTTTGGCTGTGTTAATTATTGGCGAAGGATACTATTCATATATAAATTCTAGATAAAAAAGAAAAAAAAAAAGTGTCGATATATTATTAATTAATAAAGATAAAAAAAAATGTATTAATATTACATATTAATTAACGTTAATAAAGATAAAAAATTTTTGGAAATCATCCATTATATACTATTTTTTTCATTGGTTAGTGAAGATCATCAGGATAGCGTCCAATAGAAATTTGTAAAAACTGATCTATGGCATGTGTGATCTGATAATTTTTTTTTGCTATGGCTAAGAAACTATTTACTAGCTCTAATAAATCGCCCTAAACTATATCATCACCTAAGTCTAACACTAACCCTAACTTAGGCCAAAGTGTAAATCATGTGATGAGATAATCACGAAGATGTCACTGGGTTCCTTGTTCTTGAAACTTTCCAAATTACGCTTCTGACATTTCTTGTTAGTAATCAAAGACCAATTTAAACACTAGTTTTTGAGTATTTTCACCTTTTTCTCTTTTTTTCTTCTTGTGCATATGTTTTGTTTTGACACTGGATCTTTTCCAGTATCGCCATCAAAAAAGTATAGACACATGATTATGCCAAAAAATCTTTAAGGTTACAATTTTAGTGTCTTAATAGTAAAATCGTTCAAGAAAATTTTTTTGTTAATGCACGAAAGGTGGTTTCCTATACAGATTTTTGAGTTATAAGTGATTTTTGACAAAACGAACATTTGTTTTGAATTTTTCTGATTGTGTTACATTACATATGATCTTGAAATCTGATTGGTTTGTGCCACAAAAAAATTACGTGTTCGTACTTTTTTGGTGTAACTACAGTCAGGGGATATACCAAATTAGGAAATCGGGTTCTAGAATAATCGGTGTATCGATGCTCTGATTTGATTGGC